TTTGTTGCTGGTGAGGTATGTATTTGGTTATAGGACTGGAACTGATTCTCACCATTTGATATAGATTTTCACATGCTTCACCATTTAGGGTATAGACTTTATACTCAACAGTTCACTTCTGCTCTCTCTGTTCCCTCTATTACTAGTGACTTTGAGTCAATATTTCCTTCTGCTAAGGTAAAGGAGGTGTAGTCATGTGACCACATGGAGATAGGACATTTGGCATTCTCAACCACTCCACAAGAAAACTTTGAAACAATTTTCACATTTTCATCCTCATGCCTACCTCAGGATTTGATATACGTAAGATGTCTTCAATGTGTGAGCATTCCCAGGGTTCTAAGCTTCATACCCTACCAACACCTGCCTGATGACTATCAGGTTTCCTTTATTTCTATTCTGCTACATCAGTTATCACTCCAGGTCTTTGCCATCCGCCGGAAATGTGTTGCTATATTCAGTCTGCCATCGTCTTAATATCTTATTCCTTTTGCTCTTGTGGGTTTATACCTTTGTGATTACTTTCCTACTCACTTTATATGGGATTTCAGGGGAAAATATTTAAGTATTTATCTGAAACTTCAGACTTCGATTTTCAAATTCAGGAAAAAATTTTCCCCAGTAATTATTAGCAACATGTACTCAGAGTCCCATATTGAAGGCACTGTCTAAATTTTAAAAGGAATCTATTATGGCATATTAAGGAGAATTCTAGGGGGAAAAATGCCATAAAGTTTGGCCCCTAATGTAATCAGGGTGTTTGTTATACATTTATTTTATGAAAATGTGATTGGTAAACTTAAATACAAACAAATGAGTAATGAATTTTATGTATCTTAGGATACAGGAAAATTTATTTAATGTCTTATTATAGATACTTTTATTCTGAATTATTATCAAGGTGAGAGGTATCTGAGTTGTCATAAAATTAATGATTTATGCCCTTTTTATGGCTTAAGATTATATTGTTATTTTTAAGGATCTTTTCAAGTTCATTTCTGTGAAATTCTTTTAAAAATATGCATTGCTTTTAGTTGTACTCATTAAACAATGAGCTGAGGTAACTTTGTAAAATATGTGTGTAAAATATATATGTAAATATGCATATACATAAGTAATTATACAGACATTTTAAAATAAATATATGAGGGTACTTAAAAAATTCATGGAAAGGTTTGTATTATCTTTCAAATCTATTTTTTCACCAACTTTTTGAAATACCCTCATATATGTAAAGTATATACATATAATTTATTGTTAGATTATGGGAATGTTATCCTAAATTAAATAAATATATGAGGGTACTTAAAAAATTCATGGAAAGGTTTGTATTATCTTTCAAATCTATTTTTTCACCAACTTTTTGAAATACACTCATATATGTAAAGTATATACATATAATTTATTGTTAGATTATGGGAATGTTATCCTAAATTAATGCCATAGATCAGAAAACATTTGTTAGAATTTGAAGAACACATTTACATAAAATAGTTAATGTTTGGTATTTAGGAACTTTGATACATGTTTAGTATAGATTGATATAACCATTATCAGGTTGTTTAATAATTTTCTTTATTGAATTCGTACAAGGCTACAAGGTATTTTCAGTGGAGCACTAGACATGAAATTAATTATTGAGAGAACATAATGTAATATGCTGCTTTGTGTGATTTTAAGATTATGAGGTAACCACATTGTTCAGTATATCATTTGATTTTTAATTAGATACACATAGAGTGTGCATGCATGTAATATGTGCTTGAAGTAAAAGTGGAATAGATTGTTTTCCTGAGAACATCCATTGTACATGTTATTGGAAGAATTTAAGCTTTGCTTTGAAAAAGTAGAAAGTTAATCTGAAATTAGCATTTTAATCTGATTTACAGATGGTATTTACAGAATGTATTTATGACTGTATTGATTTATTTGTAAGTTTTTAAAAAATACTTCTCATCTGAAGAATCATCTAATGAGATTTTATTTCTTTAGAAGTTTTTTTTTTACTATGTTTATTTTAATATTAAGGTTAATGTGCAATTCTTAAGCAAGTCGCAAATCAGCCCTCTAAGTCTCTTGTGGTTGTGGTAGGGTTTTCACTGGTTCGTTCACACATTCATTTACCTGGTCTATACAACTCCCAGTGCTGCATGTAGTTGTACTCCTGCTGCCTGCAAGTAGGTGTGGCAATGCACAGTATTATAGATAACCGAGTTTTGTAATAGAATGAAGTTCTAACCAGTTGAATTTTAAATCTAATGTGAAAATACCAAATATTTATGGGATTTGCCCCCTTTTAAATATCAAATGTTTTACTTGGAGAAATAATGTAATATTTTTCACCAGTCATCTTGAATAAAAAAATGCACAGTCTTTGCAGCCTGTTTTGATGTATAAGTGTAAATTCTTCCAAATTTTATTTAAAGCTAACCTACATAATATAAACTAATTTCAGTTTTTTAACTTTTTAGAGCCAGAAATTTTATTCATTAGAACAAAATTTCAGGGCTACTTTAGCTGATGAACAAAATCCTGGTTCATTTTTGTGAGGATACAAATGTCTACAAATTATTCTCCATAAAGTTTCTGTGGCTGCTAAGATGGAAAATAGTGAAGCCTATGAGTTAGCAAAGTAAAATTATAGGAAATCAGACACTGTTTCAAATTATGGCATAATCAGTGGAAAGAACAATGGAACTTATTTAAAGCAATATGCATAAGGCATTTTATAGGTAATTAGTGTGCATGTTAATGAGTGTATGAATTTATGATATTTTTCTAAGCACTGTTACCTATACTTATTCTTAAGGAGATGTTATCCAAGTAACTTTTTTAAAAAAGATGATTTTATGTTCTGTGTACAGGTATGTATGTGTTTGGGGGAAATAACTGGGTGATAAAGTCGAAGTTGGGATAGTTCCTTTTGAAGAAATATTTTTAACATGAATATCTTAGGTCATGTTTCTGATACAAGTCTGTAAAGAAAATTTGTTATTATTTATGGTTTTTCTTAGGGCAAATGACTTTTAAATGTGGGCACAGAAGTATAGTGATTAAGCCTGGGTTTTGGAGTAAGCTTTGTCTGAGTTTAAATTGTGGATGTGTTAGTTGGTAGCAGTGTGGCCTCAGATCAGCTGTTTAATTGTTCTCTGTATTAGTATCCTTGTCCATAAAATGGGGTAATAACAGTGCCTCCTTCACAGGGGTATTGTGAAGATTAAACTGAGTTAACACATGGAACACACATTTAGCATAGTACTTCAACACTGTGTTATGAAATAAATAAATGTTAGCCATTATTATTTACTTAAACCAATTGTAACTTAATTTGCAATATAGTCACATGATTAACTCATTTCTGTAACATGTATTAAGTTTTTAGTGAATTTCTTTTATTTAGAAAGATCTGTTGTAAGGTAGTTTGTATTGATTTAACCCTTACTGAGTAAGTGGAAGTTTGGTAAAAAATTTCTAGCTGATTTTTTTATGTAGGTTCTTTTCCTCTGCTGTACGTACCTATTCTTTAATTCATTCTGAGTATTTTTGTTGTTGTCCTCTGAGACATAGTTATAATAGCTATTTTAATGTCATTGCTAATTTCAGCATCTGGGTTATCTTGGGTATTAGTCTCCATTGATTCCTTTTTCTTATGGTACAGTTTTGATTAGTTCACAGTTGACAGCAAGACTCTAGCATCATATTAAAAACTGTAATTATATAATAGCATTGTAAAATTTTTGGTATGCATTCTATTGTCTCCTTGTATATTCCAGCAATGCCCTTTTACAAAATGGATGTTTTAACATGATCTTTGCTTTTTTTTTGCAGGGCTTCTTCTCTACATTCGGTTTCATCCAAGTCATTCCGGGATTTCTTACCAGAAGAAAAAAAATCTATTACTGGCTATAGTGCGGGAGATCATGTCAAAAAAGTTTGTTTTAAAGGAATTGAAAATTCTCAGTCTCCCAAAATTGTAAGGTAATAAAATTAACTTAAAACCAATACATTTTCTTCCTTAAAATATTCTGTGGTGGTTTTATGTTCTGAAATAATCTTCAAAAATTTTATGATATTCTTTTACATTCAAAATTAAATTAGCATGACTGTTCCCTCCTTTTTTTTGAAGCAGTTATTGAGGTGTATTTGGCTTATAATAGACTGCATACATTTAAATTTTATGACAACAATTTGAAATTTTGACATATGTGCACACCACTGAAACCATCACTACCTGATAGTGAACGTAATTGTCATTGTCAGAAGTTTTCTCATGCCCTTTTATAATCCCTTTCTCACACCCTCTATATTCTGCTCCCCAAACAACTACTAATCTGCGTCTGCTGATACAGACTAGCTTGTATATTTTAGAGTTTAATATTAATGGAACCATACAATACCCTTTTTAAAAATCTGTCTTCTTTTACTCAGCATAATTATTTTGAGATTCATCCATGTTGTTGTATGTATCAATAATTGATTCAATTTTATTGCTGAATAGTATTTCATTGGATGGATATATCACAGTCTGTCTATCTGTGTGTGTGGGTGTTTCCAGTTTTTTCTCTAGCTATTTTTGATACTAGTTTTTAAAGAGCAATGTATTTTATAAAGATATTTTATATTTTAAATGCCTATATGAGACATGAAGACCCATCCATAATTTAAAAGCAGTATTTTAATAAAAATTGCTTCCCCAACATGGTATATAAATTCTCTTAATTGTTGTTCAAAAGGGAACATTCATGGGGCATTAGATAAACCAATGTTGAAAGAAAAAAAAAATGTTTAGTTGGATGACTAAATGGAGTTTTGTCCTCCTATTTCTGCTAATAAGATACTTCCCAAAGATATTAATCCCTAGAGTGTTTTACACACACAAAAAAGTAATTAAAATGTCACATTATTTTTACATAATGATAAACCCTTGATTTCATTGGTTATCAAATCTTTTTTTTCCTCCTAAACCCATTTTTAAAATGAAATTTATATTCAGTTTCAGTGTATCAAACAAAACATAAACTTCTCTGACTGAAGCCGGAAAAGGGGACTAGGAACCATACTAATTTAATTTCACCATGCCTACCCTATGTGCAGCTCCTGAGGAACTGTCATAGTCTTTTAACATTTGTTTGGAAACTACTGGTTTAGATGAAATGTTTAGACATACAGTGTTGTTATTGTCGATGTTGTGACTGGCTTCCTTATAAGAGATATGTACTTTTTGGAGCAAAGTTTTTGAGTCATTTTCTTTCAATACAGAAAATCATAAATCATAAAGGAACTGAAGAAGTCATCTGGTGTGTCTCCCTAACTTTTTAAACACTTTTAGCAGTGGAATACTATTTTGAAATAAAAAATCTGAAATGGAACTCTAACATATAAAATAGATTAAGCCTTTTTACATATAAATTTATAAGTTAAAATTTTAATATTTATAGTAGACTTGTACGTATAAAACTGGGTGTGATGTAAGGCATTCGTAGTCTTAAATTTGGCAAGTAAATATTTATTTATTATCTGCTTTGTATCAGACACTATGAAACATTCTAGAGTTACAATGGTGAACAAAATTAAAGTAGCCCCTGCTCATTTAGAACTGTTATAGTTCAAAAGATAAGAAAAACCTTAAATAAATAATAAAATTACCTAAAGCATTATGAGGAAGTATATTAAACTCAACATTCAGTTTAATTCTATATTTTGTTTTAATTATCTAATATTAAGAAGTCCTGATTCTTGACATTCTCTGGGAACACTCTATTGAAACAGAGATGATAGACAGAAACTTTATTTTTTGAGTTTATATTAAAAAGAATTAACTTTGCAATGGAAGATAGTGTGTTGGTGATCTTCAATGTATTAAAAGTATTTGAATATATAATTTTTATTAGTTTCAAAAAATGTATTTCAGAAAAAAAATGAAATACCAACAAATATTTGTTGAACATTTTATGGTAAACTGGAAACTACTCAACCTAAGCAATTTAAAACTATTCAGTATCTTGTAAGTTCTTTTTTTAAAGATGTTGAGAGTAGGGCATTTATTCCATTTCTAAGTGACAGGTAACCTCTTCATGTTATTAAATTCTCATAGTAAAAATGATGTTTATGTCTAACTACATTTGAGTGCCATTGTACACGTCCATGCACTCTTACATACATATATCTTATATATATATTCCGTAAAAATATACATAATATACATAATTGTAACACATCAATATAAATGTTTTAAAATAGTCATTATACATGCATCTCTCATTAGTAGGTTTTTCCAACCCAAACAAATTTTTTTAATGAAAAACAGTCTTACATTTTTAAAAATAAAAATAAAAATAAAAATAAAATGTATATTATCCTCTGTAGTAACCCCAGATCTCATTTCCCACATGTATTATAATATTTTTAAAAACTAGTATCATTCTTTGTGATATAAGAAAAATATACCATCGTTTTTGTAGGTTGAGTGATGTCCTGTAGACCTTTTTTTTTTTTTTTAAAGATGACCAGTAAGGGGATCTTAACACCTGACTTGGTGTTGTTAGCACCACTCTCTCCCAAGTGAGCTAACCGGCCATCCCTATTTCGGGATCCGAACCTGTGGCCTTGGTATTATCAGCACCACACTCTCCCAAGTGAGCCACGGGGGCGGCCCCCAGACCAGGTTTTTAAATAGACCTGTAACTTGTTTATTTTCGTACTGTGAGATAAACAAATCTGCCCTTATTTGTATTTACCTTATTCTCCTTTCTTATTTTGCAATGGAAAAGTTATCCCTTCTATCTAAGGCCAATATCTATACCTGTGCTTTTATCCTACCCCTCTCCCCTTCAGAAGCCTTAAACTATTATCTCTTTTCTTTCTTATGTAGTCTCAACCTTTTCCTTTTAACTAGATTCTTCCCATCTGGTTTCTCTCTCATGTGGTCTGGATGGTATAATCAATTCCTTGCTCAACTCCCATACTTTCTTCTCATTTGCTCTATCATTACCAATCCACCACCCTCTTCACAGCCAGATTTCTCAAAGCGCTGTCAGCTCCCACTCACTTCTTAATTCATTCTGGCTTCCAGCCCCATTTCTAAACTGAAACAGTGATCTTCATATTGCCAACACCATGGACTTTTTATATGGTTCATCATATTGAAGTTCAATCACAGGTCATCTTTTCATTTCACTTTATTTTCTTTCTACACTATCTTTTTTATGAGCATATGTTCAGTTAGTAGATAGACTCAAATGTAACTGAAGACTCAAAATGTATATCTTCTGCCCACATTTGTCATCTGAGCTTCAGACTTAGTTATTCACCTGTCTTCTTGACCTTGCCATTCTATTTAGATGTTCAGAAACAGCTCAAACTTTAAGTCCGAAATCAAACTCAGTGTTTTCCTCATACCCCTTTCATAAAACCAAAATCAAACAAAAATATGGACAAAATATAAAACAGCCCATTTTTCCTGATTTTTCTTCCTTAGTAAATAGCATTTGCAAGTCTCTGACACCTCCATTCTCCTCACTAATATTCAGTGCATCATCAGGACATGCTAGTTTTATCTCTTCTCAAATCCATATACTATATCTCCAGTGCGATCATCCTCATTCAGACTCCAGTGATCTTTCACTGGGGCTACCAGAGTAGCCCTCCTGACTGCTCTTGCCAAAGCCTTTCTTACTTTCCTTCAGTATATTGAACTAACATGTTCTTTTTAAAAACAGAGCTTACTGCTTTTCCAGTAAAAGCTAGAATTCTTAATATGGCCTGTAAGGCCTGCATAGTCTGGCTCTTGCCAACCTCTTTAGATTTACTTTGTAACACAGTTTCTGTATTCTAGCTATCTTGATCTCTTAGTTCTCAGATGCACTTTGCTTCTTTCTACTTCCTTACTCTGACTAATTGACTCTGACTCTTCTTTCAATCTCTATTCAGTCATATTCTTTGGAGAAGTCTGACTTCCCTTACTGGTTTAATTTCCTGTTATTTTGTTCTTATACCACTTTTCCTTCATCATACTTTTCACAGTTAATTATTAGTGTGATTGTTTAATTTTTGTATCTGTATACTTAACTACATGTTCAATGAGAGCAAGGAAGATAATTCTCTTTGCTCATCTTGTGTCACTAGTGCCTAAAATGGTTTCTGGCATGTAGTAGGTGCTCAGTGAACATTTGGTGAATGACTGAATGAATAAATGAGTTAAAATTATAGCTCTGTTTTAAATAATGTTTGTTTCTAATGTAGTGAGTTACATTGCATGCCTTAAATGTATAAATTTGAAGGTATGAAAATTAAGTTCATTTTTGTAGTATTTTACATTTTGAACGTTAACAGTATACATTAAAATTTTGTTTTTCTTGAGATAAATAATTTTGTCATGAAACTCTTAAAATATTAAAGATCCGTGGTTTCAATACCTGATCACTAGAGTGTGCTGTAACATCAACTCTCTTAATTGGGATAAGTGTGTGCTGTTATACTACTTTGAAAGTTTGATATAAAGGAGTGTATGACAGTATTAGGTATCCATAGCTTGGATATTTGGTATGGGAGTTGGTGTTTTAAATAGCTGTGGCTATCATTGAAAGTGATTCTGAGAAAGAAAACATATCGCTTGAGTTTTAGTTTTTATTTCATAGAAAATATGTAATCATAAGTGAGCTTTTTAAAAAAAGAAATATAAAATATTACAAAGTAAAATATTTATTAATTTGCCAAATTATGGGACATACAAGGATACTTCAAAAAGTTAATGGAGAGGGCCGACCCCATGGTTCACTCGGGAGAGTGCGGTGCTGGTAGCGCCAAGGCTGCGGGTTCGGGTCCTATATAGGGATGGCTGGTGCGCTCACTGGCTGAGTGTGGTGCAGGCAACACCGTGCCAAGGGTTGTGATCCCCTTACTGGTATAAAAAAAAAAAAAAAAAAAGAAATGCTTGTGCCTTCTACTCTCTAGTGCAATAATAAAAACTTGCATTAAAGAAACTGGCTTGTCACTCATGCTCCCCCTTCACTAAGGTAATTTTATTTGTCCTCTCTAACAAAAATAATATCTTTCTTATCCTCAACAACCCCAAATGCTCAGGTTTTACTGTGAAAGAAAGGATGCACATTCTGAAGTATCCTTCTATTTGTAAAAGATACTACTGGCTTAGGTTTGGTATATATTAACATATAATACACAGGCCCAGCCTTTAATGTGTTTGAAATCTAGTTGTTAAATCTAAATATGTATACATGGAAGTTAAACAACAGAACAAAAATGAAATTACAATACAGTATAACTGGGTTAGTCTGTTTTGGGTTGCTATAACAGAAACCTGAGATTGGATAATTTATAAAGAATGGAGGTTTATTTGGTTTATGATTCTGGGACAGCTGCATCTGGCACAGGCCTCAGGCTGTTTCTACTCATGGTGGAAAGTGGCAGGCAGCCGGCGGGTACAATCAGATCACATGGCAAGAGGAAGCAAGAGAGAGAGAGAACAAGAGAGAGAGAGGAGGTGCCAGGGTCTTTTAAACAGCCAGCTCTCGAGTGAACTAATAGAGCGAGAACTCATTCATTAATCCCCCCTCCCCCAGGGAGAGCATTAATCCATTCATGAAGGATCCTCCCCCATGACTCACTCAGTTTCCAACACTGCCACTCAAATTTTCACATGAGTTTTGGAGGGGACAACACATCCAAACTCCATCCATAACATTATTAAAGAGGTCACGAAGCAATATATGGTTAAGTGCTAATGAGTGGTTCAGAGAAGGAAAAAGTCACCATGGGCTATAGTTGTCAGGAAGACTTCATTGAAGAAGAAGGGCTTGAGCTGTTTTAGTCCATAAACATGTTTTGTATTCCAAATATTTCATCATTATGTTTATGGCCATGTGAACAATATTAGGAAAAATAGATCTTATTGATCCTTTTCATTGTCACCACCTTTTGAACATAGGGATGGATTTTTAAAAGACGAAATAGAAGAGAGGAGAAGGAACAGTGTAAACAGAGGAAGTAGTGGGAGTTAAAGCAAGAAGATAGGAATGCTCATGGTCCTTTGGGGAGTTAGGATGGCAGGGGAGGGTGCTCATCTCAGGAAGTTCCACAAATTATACATGCTTATTTTAACTGTAGAAAATGTGATTCCCCCCCCCCCCCCGGCTAGGGAAGGAATGGCAATGTCGCTGGGGGTGTTAAAATGTAGAAAAGAGGGATTTATGCGATTTTTGTTTGTTTATTGTCACTTATATATTCTTTTTTCATTTCATGTGTTTTCTTTTATTTTCCTTTCACTTAAATACCCCCTTATGTAATTCTGGACATGAATATGAGCTTGTTTCTAATTAGTAAGAAAAACTACTCATGAGACAAAAATTATTCTATGATTATATCAGCTCTAATTTTATATAAAAGTCTTTGTAATTAAGCTAGTACAAATTTTTTTTTTTAAAAAAAGAGGCCAACTGTATGAGCAAAAAGTAATTTAGTTGTTCCATTAAAGTCTAAATTTGATAATACTGCTGTTCTTCAGTTTGAACAAAAAGCTTTTAAAGAAGATTTTAGCTAACTTATTTATGTTTGTTTTTTTTTTCCCCCAGAAGGCTAAATTTTATACAGATTGTCTCTTGGGATGTTTTTTTCTGTGTATTAATAATGCTATATTTATTATTTGAAAGCTTAGAATTTTTTGATATTTGTTTAATCCTCGTTCTATTTTATTTAATAAACTTGCTTCATTTTAAGGTGAAATTTTGACAAACTTCAAGTTATTTGAGTAAATTTATGATTAATGAGATTATCCATTGAAAAATCATTAGTGAAAAGAATTCTGGGATTGTAGTCTTATGAACAGATTTGTGTTTCAGTCTGACATGGTAGCCCTTTCTGAACTTTTCTGAACCTCAGTTTTGTCATGTTTGCAACAAGAATAGTAATACTTATCACACAAGTTCACTGTAAGACTAATATCAGATAGCATATATGAAAGTACTTTATAAATTATAAAACATTAAATAGATAAATTGTTGTATTTAATCTCTGGTCGTTTCACCTTGATTTAACAAGGCCTGTATAAGATACTTAATTCTAATACTCAGTTTTGTTAGCCAGTGACATACCATTTTTGAAGACAGAGCTCATAGCTACTGCTTTTTGCTTAGCAGTTAAATAATAATTGGTTCTACAGTATTTTTGAGTTTCTTTAAAAGTGTCAAAACATTTTAGTTGGTCCCTAGAACACCAGGATGATTTCTGCGTACCATTAAAATCATTATCTATGTTCTCCGTTTTGCTTTAATGCCCTAGAAGACCTCTGATCTCTAGTCTTGGACTGACTTTAAGACCTTCCAGGGGACTTAACCAAGGGGATTTTTATTTAATTATTTGTTCCCTCAGAATGTAGAATTTTTTTCATTTATTTTACAGTCTAGTCTACATTCACATCATCTCATTACAAGTTTATCCCAGCTGCTTTCTAGTTCAACTCTTTGACTTCATTTTTCTCCTGGCCTGAAGTTATCTTCTACTTCATCCTGGGGATTTCTCTTATTTCGGGTATCATGGGACAGGGGAAGATTCAGCAGATTTCAACTCATAGAACTTCATTAAAACTAAAAATCTTATAACTAGACCTATTCTCATTTCATGTTGTATTTCAGTACCTATACCTGTAATAAAGTTATCAGTTTTTCAAATGAATAAAGAACTTAAGAAAAACAAAATAAACTAAAAAAACAAAACCTTTGACTTTCTGTTTCAATCATTTATTCTCTAATTACTTTTTCATAAACAACTATGTTCCAGGTGTTATGTTGGACATTGAGATACAAAGATGAATGAAACACAGTCCTGTACCCTGAGAGACTAGTCTAACAGTTAAGACAGACATATAAACCATAATATCACAGTGTGTGAAGCTTTGTAATAGTGATTGAAGTTCTATAAGAGGAGAGAGAAGGTAATATTTGAGCCAGTCCTTAAAGAAAGAAGGTATTTGAAGTAGAATGTATTTCAGACTAAAGGGAATAGAAACAATGGCAGCTGTGTGATTATGGAAAAAACTCTGTACTCTGAGTGAAAAAGACCTGGATTTGAATTATCTCTCTGCTACTTATCTAATTCCTTGAGTCTTAGTTTTTTATCAGTGTAATGGAAATAATATGTGCTTTCTTCACAAAGTATTGGGAGGATTTAATGAGATAATGTACATGACATACTTAGGCTCTCAGTGAATTTGGTTGACACACATCAGGTCTAAGCATTTTAGCTTTCAGTGCATTGTATGCTCTGGCCCTACTATTTCTTTTTAACTTAAGTATATTTTTAAATCTTCCCTACCAGAATTTTTTGAGGGGAGAGGATTGAATTTTAATCAGCTTTATTTTCAGCACCTCCTGTAATCTTGACACATGCCCTGTAAATGTATATAATTGAATTAGGAAGTTATTATTTCAGGCCCTGTTTGTTTACTCTGTTTGACTTTGTATTGGTAAACCTATCTAGGCCTCAGTTTGCTCATTGCTGAAAGAGGGCACTGGATTCATCTAGATAATCTCTAGGGACCTTTCTGGCTCTAAAATTTCACAATTAGGCCGGTCTGTATAGTACCATTTTTAGTTTTTCTCCTTCCTCTCCCCCTCATTGTATACCCCTTTATTATTGTCTTCTCACGAGGCCCTCTCGAATGACTATAACATTTTGACTTTTATAGTCCTTATACTCAGTAGAACTCAGTTTGTCTGATGCTATCTTAAGTTCTTTTCCATTGTTTTATATGTCATATTATATGTTGTTTCCTCATCTAGCTTGTGAGTTCTTAGAAGGTATAGATCATATCTTGTATTTCTGTCCTATCTATAATCCCTAGCTTATAAAAGTGTATTAGTCACTCACAGAATTTAGCTGTGAATTATCTTGTTTCTTTATATTTTGAAACAGTGCCGATTTATCACTTTTATATATAAAATATTATTAATGTGAAACATTCTGCACAAAGTTCTGTGTACTTCTTGATAAATGTTTGATTGCTATATGAGTATTATTGGGAAAAATAGACCATTTCTTGAAACATCTTCCTCTATGGAGTTTTATATATAAGATTTATACATATCCATAGATTATTTTATTTACTTAAAAATTTAAAGGTAAACCAGATTGCACACATTAATTTGTCTGAGTCAGGAGTTTATAGTTTCTCTCCTGTATCTATTAGTAAGCAGTTTTATTGATATTACTAGATGATTTATTTTCCAATTTGGCATTTGTTTTGCAGATGCTGTACTCATGGTACTCCAGGACCAGAAGGCAACCATATTTCAGATTTACCACTTCTAGACAGTCCCAAGTAAGGTTAAATAATTAGTTTTAGGACCTCCAGAGCTAAGTTGCTGCTTAACATTGAAAGAGAATTTTAAGAAAATTGAAATACTGTGGTGTTGAGTAGAATGTATTATTAGAATACTCCGTCAGATAGTTTGAATTATCTTTCTGTTTAGTTATTTGCTTCTACTCCATCATCACTCTCTGGCATTTTCCAGAACTTTCTCTATAACACTGATCCAAATGAAATATTAGTTCTTTTTTCTATTTCTCACCTCATCATTTTGTAATCTCTGTAAATGCTCTCAGGTCCTCTTAAATTGTAGGTCACTGGAAAAAAAAATGTAGCACTGGTAAAGAGTATTTCAGAGGAAAATTTGTTTGCAAAAATTTGGGAAGATGAATGAAACTCATTATTATTATTTTATTATTATTATTATTATTATTTCAGTCCCTGGCTATCTTCTTCAGTGACTGCTCCCTCCATGGTAGCCCCAGTCACTTTTGCATCTATTGTAGAAGAAGAGCTACAACAGGAAGCAGCTCTTATCAGAAGTCGAGAAAAACCCTTGGCTCTGATTCAGGTGAATAACACACCTATTAGAGTTTACTTTAGGGAAGAACTACACTACATTTTATCTTTAGGTTTTAAGAAAATTATCTTTGTTTGCTTTGGACAGGTACATATATTTACCAAATTAAAATGTAAATGCCATGTAAAACTAACCTTTGCCATTCAGCAATTTAAGTATTAATTGAAAGTATTCAGGATAATTAATTTAGAACTAATAAATTGTGATAAAACATATTTTTAGATTTGGTTATACTTTCAACTGTTTTAATTTTTTAAAATAACCAGTAGGGAATTTAACAAAATCTAACATGTAATTTGGCTTCTTTATCAATAAGAGTTCTTAAGTTGTAAGCAACAGACACCAACTTTGGCTAACTTAATAAAAAGAAAATTTATTTGAGGGATATTAATATTTTACAGACTTACCTGAAAGACCAGAGAGCCAGGCTTAGAAACAGACAGGATCCTTAGTAGTTCTGGAGAGCTCAGAAGCAAGATTTAGAGGATTTCAGTTACAGAAAGTATCCCATGGAATAAAGCTATTGGAATCAATGTATTCCAGCAGTCATTTCAGTTTCTTTTTCTATCTTTTCAAGGGAGGGTGGGTATCTCATTATTCTAGCTCAGGCCTCAAGCTTTCTCCTTACCAAGGGAATAGCAGGATACCTGATTTAGTTCCACTATATTATATCCAGGGAAGTGGTAGTTCCTCAAAAAGAAATTGGAAAACTAATGTATCCTACTTAATTTATAATTAAAAGGATAAAGCAAGTCTTTTTTCTTCTCCTTTCTTTCAGATTGAGGAGCATGCAATACAAGATTTATTGGTTTTCTATGAGGCATTTGGCAACCCTGATGAGTTTGTCATTGTTGAAAGGACACCACAGGGACCACTGGCAGTACCTATGTGGAATAAGCATGGATGCTAGTTCGCTGTGGAATTATGATGCATTTTTCATAATTGTGATTGCTGTAATAGTATGAGAAAAGCTGTGGAAAAGAGTTCTTACAGATTTGATAACATATCATGGAAGGGAGAACCTTATAAAAGTCTAATTATGAAAGAATCAATTTCTTCTCAAAATGTTAAAATTTTCTAAAATAAATGCTTAATTGTACATACAAAAATTGAATAGTTTGGAAGCAGGGTGATTTATATTGTATAATCAATTCCCTGAGCCTAGGTTATACATATAGACATAAAAATTGTTTTCTTTACAGTATGCTGTTTGGTGGGTTTTTTTATGAGTATTTAAATTTTTTTTTAAATTAATGTTAAATCTGAGATTTTCTACCTATACAAATTGGGAAGGCTAAGGTTCTAGTTTCTGGAAGATAAACTAGGGGAACATACAGGCAATTTACTGCTTTAATTCAGTTGATGAAAGAATGACAAACTAATTCTCAATGTTTCAGATTTATCTCTACCCAAAAGCAGCAGATGTGTAAGAAAATGTGCAATAAAAAAAAATCTTTATCCATTTCACTACTAATGTGTGTTTGATATCTTGTACTATATCGACATCTATTATAGGAAGGATTACTAATTATTCCTCCTGTTATGCTACACTAATAGCCAGTATATGTTAAGTTGATGTTATATTCATTCCTAGACTGCTTAAAAAAGGGCAGTTTTCCAAATATGAACCTGTGAGAAGTTTTATATTATGTGTGTATGAGTAAATTGAGAAGAAATGAATTTTATAATGTTTTATTGATGTTGCAGTAAAGAGGCCTTCTGAAATAATTGATTTATTTCATTTGAACCTTTGGTTCTTCTGTGCATATTGGCACTTTTAATATTTAAAGATGTTATAAAGTGATGATTTTCTTGCTGTACTCCATGCTGTCTGGGAAGCACCCTCAGGGGTCTTTGTTGGAGGGGGTTTGAAAGGAGGGGCAAGGGCTTCACTGGGTCTGTGAGGCTTTAGGTCTTTACAAACCCCAACTAGGTCTGTTTAATATAGTGATATGTTACATAAAATTTCATGTTGAAAAAAGGAGTTCTTCTGCTAATAAAGTGAGATAAACACTCCTATAAACTATATTTCTTTATAAATGATTCCATGAAGATAGCATCCTGATATGTTACCACTAAAAAGCCCAGGAAAGTGATGTTTTTTTTTTTTCCTAATAACATTATTCTGCCTGTAGTAATTTATTCATCTCTAATCCCGTAACTCAAGGAAGACCAAATAGAATTGAAAAAAATCTAAAAATGGCCAGTTTAAATGATAAGTGGGTTGAAGAGGTTTTTAAGATTGACCAAAATAACCATAGAACTCTTAAGCCTGGAGAGATGATAGTTGGGTGGTATAGTTGGGTGGGGTATTGGGGTGAGGGGATGTCAGAGGCAGAATATGCTTGAAATTTGCAAAATTAAGAAGACTACCAGTCTGGTAAAGTCAAATTTGTTGACAAAATACTAGGATCCAGGACTCCTTTTCAAGTTCTAAAGAGATGATTTTTAAAATAAATTTAAGAAAATCCTGCTTTATAAAGGAACAACAACAAATGCAGTCAGTTGAAAAAGGTATTACTAGTTAATGTCTGGATTGGTTGTCTGTAACTTTTGGGAGGCTAGGGTATATGTACTTGTTCACGGTAAGTGGTCAATAGCTGTTTATTAATTTTATGCATATTCTTTTCATTTTATAAATTGGAGAAAGTGAACTCCAGAGCAAGTGACTAATGAGAATGAAGTCTTCTGTCTTTTTAGTATGGTTGCCCTACAACTACAACAGACTGCCTCTTTGAAATTACCAATGTCTATAGCAATTTAGCCAAGACTTAAAAAATATAAAATACCATGTAGTAAAAACAAATGTAACCCACAAACTTCCAGAATTGGCAGTATAAAAGATGTTCTCAGAAGAAACTAGTTGCTACCTTTAACCAAGAAACTGGGGACAAGTGATCTAAGATATTTATGGTAATACATATATATATATATATCTCTTCTTGCTTGAGATGAAGCTCGGTTATGTAATATACCAAAACATCCTGGTGATTCCTATACACACAACCATCAGACTATCTCAGTCCTTATGTATTTTATTTTCTTAGATGTCTCTATTTGGTTACCTGGCCAGCATTTCATTTGCACCAAAACTGAACGCTTGCCACCCCCAAACTCTCACCTTTTTTTTATATCTTAATCAGTCATTCTCCCAAATCATTCAGGCTGAGCTTTTGGATTCTTTGCCTTTGCGCTCCATTTTTCCCCCACGTTTATTGGTTGTCCAACTTTCATCAATTTTGTCTCTTTCATAACTTTTATTTATCTTTTGCATTTCATTCTTATTACTGCTACTGCTATGTTTTATGTCTTTATTTTTTTCTAGAAGTTCTCAAACTTTGTGGTTTTACTTTACACTCTTAAAAATTATGGTGGACCCCGGACCCCTTTACACTCTTAAAAATTATGGTGGACCCCAAAGAGCTTTAGTTTATATGACTTACATCTGTCTACATTTAATGTATTAAAACTTAAAATTTTTTAAATTTATTTAAAAATAATGAAGTATCACATGCTAACATGAATGAAATTTTTTATGAGAAGTCTTTACACTCTTAAAAATTATGGTGGACCCCAAAGAGCTTTAGTTTATATGACTTACATCTGTCTACATTTAATGTATTAAAACTTAAAATTTTTAAAATTTATTTAAAAATAATGAAGTATCACATGCTAACATGAATGAAATTTTTTATGAGAAGTAACTATTTTACAAAATAAAATTAGTAAGGAGAGTAGGATTGTTTTACATATAAAGATAACTCTTTCAGATGTAGGTTTTTACTGTCTGGTTTGATAGAAGACCCCTGGATTCTCACATCCTCTTCTGCAGTCAGTCTGTTACAATATCACATGTCACGCAGCCTCTGGAAACTTAGGGACTGAGACTGAAAAAGGTAAATAACATGTTATTTTAAAAACAGTTTTGATCTCATCAGCTTTTGGAGGGCTGAGAAAATGGTTGGGAATCACTGCATTATTCTTTAACTGTATCTCTTCCTCCATATCTGTGGTCCAATCCATCATACTCAGCAATTCCCAAACTAATACTCCCCAAACATGTCTACCATGATTCAAAAATTTAAGTTACTCCTTTTATACTTAGAGTAAGTTCATATATTTTTTAGGTTGGCCTTCAAGGAATTTTTTTTTCCATCTGTACATGTGGTGGAGCCAAACGTTATATTTCTCCCAAATATATTTCAAGCTTTGTTCATGGAGATCTTTGCCTAAATTTTTCTTTTTCTTTACCTGTTGAAATTCTGTCTAGGATTAAGGCAGTCCAAATTCTATTTCCTTTATAACACTTTTTGTTTGTATGTCTCTCACCTGACAGCCCCTCAAAAATAAAAATAAAAATAATAGCATATGTGGATTGACTATGTTCTTATTTGACGTATACCTTTTAGGGTACTTGTCATATTCTCCCATAATTTTTACTTTTCTGTCTATCTTTGTCTTTTCCTAAATGCTTGTACTTTGAGTACTAAGCATTCTTTTCTTTCTTGTATTTGTTTATGTTTAAATCTTTTAAAACCTTGAAACATAACAGATAAGTGCACAAGACAAAAAATATTTAGCTCAGTGATTTACCAATGAGTCAAGAAATGGACCATTAACAGCACCTCAGAAAGAGGTACTGAATTTGATTTGCTAATATTTCATTGAGAATTTTTGCATCTATATTAATGTTGGGAGATTGGTCTATGGTTTTCTTTTTCTTTTGCTATCTTTTCTGACTTTGGTATCAGTGTAATACTGGCTCATAGAATTAATTGAGAGGTATTCCCTCATCCTCTGGAAGTATTTATAAATGATTGGTATTATTTCTTACTTAAATACTTGAGAGAATTAACCAGTGAATCTGTCTGGTATGGGCTTTTCTTTGTGGGAAGATTAATTATTCATTTCATTTATTTCTATTACTTGTTACAGGTCTGATTAATTTTTCTATATCTTCTTGAATCAGTTTCAATAATTTGTCTTTCTAGGGATTTGTCCAGTTCATCTGAATTGTCTAGTTTGTTGGCATATAGTTGTTTATAGTATTCCCTTATAATCCTTTTAATTTCTGTAAGACTGGTGGTGATGTCCCCACTTTCTTGATTTTTGGTAATCTGTATTTTCTCTTCTTTTTTTCCCCTTGATCATATCAATGTAGATTTATTTGAAGAACCAACTTTGGGATTCATTGATTTTTATTATTATTTTCTTTTTCATTGATTCTGCTCTGATTTTATTTCCTTTTCTTCTGCTTGCTTTAGCTTCAATTTGCTGCTCTTTTTGCAGATATTTAACCTTAGGTTACTGATTTCTTTTTCCACAAATATAGGCATTCAGAGTTATAAATTTCCTTCCAAACACTGCTTTAGCTGCATCCCATAAGTTTTATGTTGTGTTTTCATTTTTATTCTGCTCAGAATATTTTATAGTTTCCTTCTGATTTTTTTGAACTATCAATTATTTAAAGGTATATTGTTTAATTTCCAAATATTTGAGAATTTTCCCCAAATATCCTTTTGTTGTTGATTTCTAATTTAATTTTATTAAATTTGGAGAACATATTTGGTATTGTTTATATTGTTTCAATTTTTTGGAATTTAAGATGTGTTTTATAGTCTAGCATATGGTCTGCCCTAGAGAATGTTCCATGTGTTCGTGAGAAAAATATGACTGAATTTACATCCAACTCTTATGAAATAGTAGCTCATAGGACTTTGTATGTTTCCTGTGTTAAGGACAGAAATTTGTCATCTAAATAAAGGACAAGAATAAATGCTGAGGAACAAAAAGGATAGACTGTGTTGGATGTCTACTATTTGCCATTCATATCCATTCTCCATTCTCCACACGTCTGTGTCTTGTGAGGTTGAACTCTAGGACTTTATCAATTGGACCATTTTCCCCTCTGGCATCTGGTTATTCTAGGCATTTTGGAGCACTGCAGAATACTGGCTAATTGGCAAGAGGAAAGAGAATGGAGCTTTTCTGTTTCTGCCTTCCACCTCC